AGCAGTATTAGATTTTGCTAAAAGGTGGTTCTCAGAATTCAGTGTGTCTTTAGCATAGAGAACACATATCTGCTATTACCATGCTCTAAAGTGCATGCACCATTTTTTGACATGCTTGCAAAAAGGTAAAAATAATCATCCCTGGTTTTCAGAAACGTTTGTTTGAATTTCATAAATTTGTAACTATTTATAAGGAGTCTTTGAAATTAATAAACAACCAATGTGTTCTATAGACAGAACGAATCAGTTTCTTTTTAATGCAGAATCATAGAATGGTTTAGGTTGGAATGAACCTTAAAGCTCATCTGATTCCAATCCCTCTGTCCTGGGCAGGGACACCTTCCACTAGCCCAGGTTGCTCCAAGCCCCGCCCAACCTGGGCCTGAAACTTGGGATGAAACTTATGATAAAAGAAAACATATTAAGTATATATTTACATCAACCAATTGTTTGCCTGAAGAGACTGGCTGGAGACATTTCTTGGGTGATATTTTTAAGTAATCGATGTTTAAACCAGACAGTTTAGGGCAGTATTTCTTGTCTGAAGTCTGTAAATCATGACTTGCATGCAGGAAGCTGAAATTGTGCTGTTCCCTCTTTTGCAGGTTGCATTGGCTGAAAGCAGCTTGGTATTACAATTTTGCACTATTCCATCCATTTTTAGATTACTTAGTAGAAGGACAGCAGGGGTGGGTTTGTTGTTGGTTTGGTTTTCCACATTAAAAACCTGTTTTCCTCCATGTTTGCCAAACATCAATTCTTTGTGTCATATAAAGGGAGCTGCAGTGTTTCGAGGAATTCCTTTTAACTTCCACGCTGAAGTGGTTGCTAGTCATTATCAAAAGCCTCCCCAACCCTTTAACAGACTGTCTTTAATTGGCCACTTGCATGGTCAGTTAACAGGCTGCAGTGGAAACCAAGTGGCAAAGTGTGAACAACCGAATCTGGCACTATAAACCCAGTGACCGCCCCTGAAACCTGTGGCTATTTATACACGGGGCAGTGTTTTGTCATGCTGATTTTTATTAGCACAGATTAGATACAGACAACTTGGGAGATGTCACAGATGAGTCAGAAAATGTTAAGCACGGATCATTTAAAACATGCAAGCCTGCAAAGGAGGGATGGGGCTTGGAGCCTTCTCTCTGTCCCTCCCCCAGCAAACGAGGGAAGGGTGCAGGGCCAGGCTGGCACTGCCCCTCCTCTGGTTATCCCACTGGCTGGATCAGCACTGCTTGCAGAATCTTTCCATCCTTAGGGATGTTTTTTTTGATGTGTAGAGGATGTTTGGTAGATGGCAGGAACACACAGCACGGCTGGAGCACGGCAATGCTCCCAGTGAGCTCCGAAATGCTGAAACAGGTGAGGTATCAGAGACTCTTTTTGGAGGGTTAAAATTAGGTTTCACTTTTAATGCATTTATTTTACTACCTCAGAAGGCAATGTGAGGAAAGCTCCCCCCTGGAAGTGAGTATAAAGGCAAGAGGCCTTTATATTTTCTGTGGGTAGGACTCCATGTGCAGCCCCAGTGCTCTTCTTGGTCCTATGAACCTGCAAAGCTACTGCTCTGAAATCTCACCTCCCTAAAACCCAAGCCTGAGGATTTATCTCCAATCTTGAAATTAAAATGTCTCCCCAGGGCTGAAATAAATTTTCATCCCTGGCGACGACTTCTTGTCATAATTTTGGAAGTCCCAGCAGCGATAAATTTACGTTTGTTCTTTTTACAACACTGTAAACAAAAGAAGTTAATTATGAAAAATTATTATGTCTGCATGCCTATTTATTCTGGCTCTATTCATAGCAGCATTAAATATGCTGCAGCTATACTTGTGCAGTTATAAAAACTCCACCTGTGCTACGTATTTATAGAGCCTATACAACTTCAGAGAGAAACTGCCCTGGTTCAGAGTGAGGGCTCTTGGGCATTCCCAGCTCATCTATCTCCTTCCCTTTTCTAGGAACAGAAAAAGAAAAGAGCATCACTCAGTGGAAAATTAAGTGGAGAAGTCTCTATTTTGGGGTCTGGATTTTTGTTCTGTGTGCCCCTTACTTAGCTGGGAAAACTCCCTGTGCTGTCAAGGTGTGGGAAATCAGACCTGAATATTGTCATTCCTATCATGTACCCCTTCCTAACTCTAAACTGAACTGAAAGCACAAAGATTGGCCATAGTGTGTACACAGCACTTCATATTCCCATCCACCTGCATGAAGGGTAATCACTAACTGCAAAAGGAGCCTGTCTCAAACCCAACAGGTGATCCTACAGTCTCTTCCATCAGTGTGGTCCCACTCCACAGAGAGAGCCAGCAGCACTCATTAAAGCCAAAGCCCGGAGATCAGGTTTGCCTGTAGTGTTAACAGCCAGCAACACAAACCCCAATGCTGATTTGTGCCTCTGACCATTAACTTTAGGTGCTGCAGGAGAAGCTGCCATCATTAATAACCAGGGAAATAACACAAGTCAGAACAGCAGCATGTGGCAGATGCAAGTGTGCATATCTGTTACTGAGCTGGTGGAGCTGGGCTTTCCTGGACGATTTCCAGCTCTGGCAGGGGGAACTTTAGCTGAGTAAGAAATCCAGGCTGTCAGTCCTGAAGTAGCTGGCAAAGGCACAAAGACTCCCTGGGCTTTGGGAAAGTGAAATAGCATTTTTTTTTTTTTTACTGTCTTTCGTTGCAGGATATGTTCCCTTCTTATAAAGAGCTAAAATCAACACCAGGGTGTCATGCATTGTAAACGTTTATCATTTATTATGCATTTAAGTGTGCACAGCACATACACCACAGTCTTGAACAGCACCTGTATAAAACTACAGACAGATTCTGGTAAATGGTGAAAGTTCATACCACGTAACATCGTTATCGAGGTTTTATCACGATATTTAAAAGTTACAACAACTACCTCTGAGCATATCTTGTGTGAGGCCGTTGGTTGTGGATTTAATGAAGTGGAAAGTGACAGAGAAGAACCATTTCCCAGAGAGAATCTTTGTGGTCTGATTTTGCTATCTGAAATCTGGAACAAAATCATCAATTGTCAGAGGTAGTGGTGATAGTTACACAACGATTGCTCACATATAGAAAACACAGAAAGTACAGAAATCCCCCAATTTACAGAAAAAGAAAAAAATTAAAAATCCTTAGGCATGACATTTCCTCTGCTCTTGATTTGGCTTCCTTTTTCTTAATTATCTTTGCTTTGACAGCATCTGCCTTAAGGTCTGGTCCTGCTCTGCTCTGATTTTACTGAAATTTGGTGAGTAGACTTTGTCTTCAAGGTCATGTGTAAGTAGAGGATACAGGCAGGTCTATACCATTACAAAGGAACAAAGGCTTTTGCGTAGGAATGTAAAGAGGAAAAAAAAAAGGCAAAAAAAAAAAAGCTGAACTCAAATTTGTGTGTAGTCAGAAATAATTAGTTTAGATGGGAAGATGATCTGTAAACATCCTCTAAGTCATCAAACATTGTGGTTAGTCCTGGTTCCCACTTAACATATCGATGCCCCAAAGATGAAGTATCTTACAAAGCAGGAAAAAAAGAAAAAAGAAGAAAAAAAAAGGATCAAAAAAGACAAATGAATCCTTTTAGTGATTCCCCCATAATCAAACCTGTCTTTTCCTTCATCACGTTAGAGACATGAGTTACACTTGAAAAATATATAAAGAAAAATATAGGGTTACTCGATGACGATACAGTACTGCAGCCTGACAGCTGTCTGCAAATATTTTCACCATGATTACCCTTACTAAAAGTAAACCACTGGGTAAAGATAGCTCAAACGTGACAAGGCTCAAATAGGATGCAACCAACTCTATCCTGAATACTTTTGGCTACATATGGAAAAAAAGAGAGATTTGGGATGACGATTGTTCCCCCCAGGCCCTCCTCCAGAACTGTGAGCCCAAGCAGGAAAGTGGGTACCTTCCTCCCGTGCAGAATTTGTTAGGAGACTGGCTCTGGGAGTTAGTGAGGTAGAAATTAATCAACTTCGTCAGGGAATGAGACAGAAAAAAAAAAAAAAAAAAAGCAGCATATTTCTCCTTCCAAATACTGCAACAAAAATAATAAATAGTACAAACCAACCTCAGTTCCTCGTAATCAATCTAAGTTCTCTCTGTGGAGCTCGTGCTTGCTGCAAACCAGCAAATGCTTTTTTGCCTTTTAAAAACTTACAACTGTTACAGAGTTCCCCAAACTTTGAAAAATGAAGGTAGTCTCTGAATTCAATTTGAATAAAGTTGAACTGGTTCACTGTAGTTCCACAGTGCATTTTTGGGGGGAGGGACAGACGCGTTATTTTTTAGCCTGATGCCAAGCCATTGTATCACTAAGGGCCAAAAAAAGATGGTTTGTCTAAACAGATGAACCCAGCCTCAATCCTGAGGAGCTGCCAGAGGTGCTTGAGCCTCTCTGCTGAGAAGAAGGACTGCAGGAAAGTTCAAAGTTCAGCGCTGGCAGATCTAAAAACAGATTTGTGGGGCGGCTCTTCATCCCCGCGCTCTCCGCACAGGGGGTAAACCGATCCCGCTCCAACGAAATAGCAACGCGGCACAAAGGAGCTCAGGCATTGTGTGTGGCTCCACACTGGCATCCCACTCCGCCACCGCTCCTTCTTGGAGGCCAAAGAGCTTCTCTGGGAGTCATGGGGGAGGTTTGGAAAACACGCAGATGGAGGACAAAGCCACCGTAACAAACAAACAAACTAACAAACAAGCACGTGCTCGACAACAGGCACCCTACAACACACAAACAGTGCAAAACGCTGGAAGAGAGAGGAATTGGATGTCACCTGGCTTAGGACACGGAGTAGCAGCACATCTGTGATAACTTAGAAACTAATTAAATAAACCACGAAGCAGAAGTCTTCTACTAGTTGCACCATGAAATGAAAAAGACCTTGGGTTGGAGGTTTGTTTTGTTTTCAGAAATTTAAAAAAAAAAAAATAAAAAGAATCAATCAGAGCTATAAATAAATTCTGTGACAATATATACAGATTTAAATAATTAACTTAAATATCTTACACCTACTCTTGCATAAAACTCTCCAGTAAAAGTGCACCATGTTTCTTTTCCCCGAACGTGTTTCTGCGTCTTCCCCTGTGCTGAGGTAGGTCTGAAGGGAGATGTCTCAGATTCTAGGAAGAAAATGTGTCACTGTCATTGTGGGAGATACTTTATTGCCTTTCTTTGTTCTTCCATTTTTGCTCAGGGCTATGTACATCCCGGGATAAATCCTGGATTCGTAGGCATTGTAGTTGTTTGGCAGGAGAATCTCTTTGAATTTGCACTCGTCATTGAAATGGGTCTGAAATGAAAAGGAAAGGATGAGAGGGAAGGAATTTTAAACATCAGGTGTGGAAATATTCTCGCTACCAGGTGTAGGAGGTGTGTTGTGGGGATATCTGCAGGTGAGTCCCCCCCTCTTAGTAACCTTTTGAAGTGGTCTCTGAAGCTTCAAACAGGGCTCAGGAACCAGAGGATCATTAGGGATGCTGTGCCCAGGCCAGGCATGTACACCTGAAGGTGGAAAGGACATCAAGAGCCCTGACCCAAGGGAGGTACAGGGCTTAACAGAGCTGAGGTGGGTAAGGCCCACGCTCAGTTCTGCAGCACTGCTCATCTAATTGCTCGGTGGTTGTCCTACCAGCAATAAATTGACTGAGAGGCTTCAGGAAAGCCTGAATTAGACCAGCCCTTTCTCATGTTGCTTGAGGAGAAAAGGAGGCATTTTAAAGACACTCAGTCAGCATGGACAGTATTTTTTTGCTTCTTTAAGTTTAAAACTGAAGGAAGGGTTTGGGTAACTCGAGTTAATGGCTCAGGGAAACAGAGCTGCAACACCAACCCTTTCAGTGACGAGGTTTGGTTTTCAAGTGAGTACAAAGGTGTTACAAGTGTGTTATCTGGAGAGGAACAAACGAACTCATCTCTTACTACTGGGCAAAAGCCAAGGGATTTGCAAGAGAGGTCTCAGCCTGCCAAGCTGAACACTGCACTGGAGATTACTTTATCCAGGACACCAAAGCAGCAGGACCTCTAAGAAACGATGCAACAGAAGTTCTGGCACTTTGGTGGCTGATTCTGTCTGGCTTTTATGTAAGGTAAAATCCTCTGTAACAGGACTGATGCCCCGGAAAAGAATTCTGGATGCTTCATGTCCTCATGTGAAAATACCCTGCCTCTGACATCGTTTGGCTCTTTTGAAGCCCATGGTCCTTCAAAAAATATTTTGGAAACAAGACATAGGAAATTCATGGGTAAGGAGGGAGACCCAGGAACTGGAGTTTGAAATTATGCTGATCACAGTAACTTACACAGAGGTGAAAGCAAAAACAGGAGGAAAGCTCAGCATGGACAAAGATATTCCCTGTCCACCTCAAGTATATTTTTTTAAGAGGTCTCTATCTTTTCCAAAGATTCAATGTAAAAAAAAGATCTGTGTTGTCTCCTGATAGATCTTCCTTCTTACCAATCAAGATTAAACCCCAAGGATGCTGAACTGCCATGGGAACAGACTCTCTGTTCAGGAGCATTAACAAAGAGTGATCAATAGGTATGTGACAGTCACTGATTCATCTCATCAGAAAGGGTCACTTGTGAGGGCCTGGCTGATCACAAGTCCAAGTGCCCTCCGAGAGATGGAGTCAGGGATTGCCCAACTTGTTTAAGGCTGTTTGCACTTATCAGAAATACATGGCCTGAGGCTAGCTTGTGGTCTTGCCACACAGATGGCTATTCTGTTGGTCTGTGTGGTAGGCAAGATGGGTAGTCATAGCTGGGTGACTGCAGTTTTTGTGTGAGAACCAAAAAAGTGTCATGCAAAAGAGTGGGTTCCACTTCGAAACCTCAGTAAGCAGCACAGGTGGGCAAGGATGCCTTTTGTTGGCAAAGCTCTGTGTTGCCTGACCCAGGAGGGGCAAGGATGGGGCTTGGGCAGCTTTTAGCACCGTGCACACATGTCACCCCAGCTGACAAGAGTCCCCTCCCCAGGCGCACCCTCGGTGGCTACTTACAGATCCATAGAGTTTGCCTTTGCTATTCATGGCCACGAAGAGTCCGCTTCTGACACCAAATATGCTCACCACTCCTCTTTCCACGGGAGAAATTTCCAGCAGACCTACAGAGGAGACACAGGGATCAGGGGGACAAAGAAGGTAACACCCTGCAGCGTGAGGTGACAGTGCTGCGCTCACCCCCAGGCTCCCATCCCCAGTGTGGTGTGGATCCCCACGCCCCAGCCCTGCTGTGGGTGGCCACAGAACCCCAGCCTCGTGTGCTCCACGTGCTGCCCTATGCCCCACGCGGGGACCTCTCTTCTTTTAGCCAAGTATCTATTTTTAATTTGCGCCCCCCCCCCCGGCATTCTCTCGCGTAGACAAGGTTAAAATAAGCCAGAGAGTGCTCAGGGAAAATGAAACATTTGTCATCACGCAGCTTACGTCCCCACACACACACACACCGACCCCTTCCCGCACCTTATTGTTTCAGTTGGCTATCAGAGCCGCGGGGGCCACGGGGTTAAGCCCCCAGCAGATGCTCTCCCAAGTTTTTGGTTTTTTTTTGGGGGGGGGAGGAAAGCCGGGCTCTTCCCCGGCAAAGAGCCCTTGCTCAGAGCGGGCGGCCCCGCGGAACCCTCCAGATGTGGAGGCAGCCCCCGCCGCGACACCTGATGCCTGGCGCAGTGTCCCTCCGGAAAGGCCGGCGGGTGTCCCGTCCCCTCCCGCAACACGGAGTGCCCGATGGGCTCGGCCGCCGCCCCGCCGGCCGCGCTCCCCGCCGCCCTCGGGGGAGCCGGGGGCGGCAGGACTTTTTAGGGAACTCCGGGGTCCGCCACGCACCCACCCTCCTCTCGGGGACAAACCACTCCCCGGGGCAGGTGAGAGCCCGGCGCCCGCGGATCTGCCCTCCGGGCAGATCCGCGGGCGCTAGGCCATCTCACCCGCCCCGTCCGTCCGCGGGCGGCACCGCCGTCTTACTGTATCGATTCTCGCTGTGAATCCCATCGATACGCCCGTCGGGGAGGACCTGGATGTGGAAGCCGATGCCCACGTTGCAGTAGAGGCGGCGGAGCCGCTTGATGCCCAGGAGGTAGTCGCCGTCGCGGGCGGCATCGCGGCGCTCGGCCGGCAGGCGAGCGACGGAGCGGGCGAAAAGAGCCGCGTCCCAGCGGCGCTGGCGGGGCCCGGCGGGGAGGCGACCCGGGGGCGACCGGCCACGCACCGCCCCTGGCCACAGCAGCCCCAGGAGCAGCGCCGGCAGCAGCGCCGCGGGGAGAGGCATCTCCCGGCTTTAAGGGGCGGGCGGGCGGCCGACGGGACGGTCGCTCCGAAAATGCGCTCGCCGACCTCTCCCCCCCTCCAACCCCCGCCCCGCGCCGAGCACCCCCGCCCCAGCTCCCCCGCTTTATGCTGAGGGAGAAAATAAAAAAGAAGGAAAACAGAATAAAAAAAAAGGCGACAAAAAGCCAAACGGGAAAAAAAAAAATTAAAGAAAAAAAAAATGCGCGGGGGGAAGGAAGGAGCTTTAGTGCTCAGTCCCCCGAGGATCTGCGGTTTCCCTGGGCTGGCTGCATGGAGAGGAAATCCCGGGAGCAAGAGCTTCTGAACTTGATCTCAACTCCAGGAGTCTTGTCTGAAGTGCTGATCTTCTTCTATAGCTGCTCAGCCATAGCGCTTTAGCCCTAGCCACGATATTTATATATCCATGTGCGTTGGTACCTATTACATCACCACCTACTGCTGTCTGCTGCAGCCCTCCGGTTTAGCTGAAAGTCAAATTATCACCCTTAGATGCTTAACAACTCCGAAGCGTCTTGAAGGGAAAGGGTGAGCAGCGCTGGTGCTAAACAAGACGGACAGCACAAACTTTTAAAAAGAAAAGGTCATATTTTACGTTCATCACAGCAGCTTCCTTCTTTCTTTTTTCTTTTTTCTTTCTTTTTTCTTTCTTTCTTTCTTTCTTTCTTTCTTTCTTTTTCTTTCTCTTTCTTTTTCTTTCTTTCTTTCTTTTTTTCTTTCTTTCTTTCTCACTTTCTCTCTTTCTCTCCTTCTTCCTCTTTCTTCTTTTTCTCTTTATATCTCTTTTCTTTATATTTTTATCTTTTGTAAGTGCCTACAAATGCTAATGCAAGATACAAAAATCAAAGAATGCCCAGTACACTTTCTCCACAACACAGTGTATGACTTTATGTAAATCTGTGGAATTTCGGCTTTTGCTGTATCCAAGCGACATGGTTTACAGTTTGCTGGATGCAGAAAAATTCCCTTCATTAAAAGCCAAGATAGTCGTTGAATGGGAGGTCTAAGAAATGAAAAATTAAAAAACTTGCAAAAAAAAAATTAACAAAGGAAAGGACCAGCGTTTTAATAAGAAGGAAAACACTTTAAAGAGGCAGAATGTCTCACAAGTAATAAAGCTTTGATTCCAAATATCCCTTTAAGAAATCAGAAATCAGCCTGCAGTACCAGATATGTGGAGCTCCCTTCTTGGTCACTGTACTGACAGAGGCTGTAGTGACACAAGTTTATTCCTGAGCTTAGAATCTGCCCACTCATGCAAGTATTGCTGCACTTTCTAATGGTGTGCTTGTTTTTTAATCTTTACTTAGATGTGGCTGTTATGTCCCAATGATGCAGTTGTTCTTAGGCAGTCACTTAATTCCATTTAAGTTCATGAAAATGAAGTTCAGTATTTGGAATCAGGAGAAGTTTTGACCCCCTCAGTCTAGGACTACTTTGCTTAGAGCAAACCCCATATGGTTTGTCACATCCCGTAGTTTAAGCCTCGACCCTCAACAGGTTTTCAGAACTAACAGGTGAGGAGACATTAGGACGATTTTGGAAGGTCCTGAATTAATATGAAAATGCATTTTGGGAAGGGGTGAGGGGGAGGGAAGTGGTTTGTGACTCAAGTCCTTTATAGCCTGAAGACAGTTTAGTCTTTCACGCCAGTAAAGCTCTCCTGCTGTTCCAGCAAAGGATGCGAGAGAAAAAGAGAATTGCCCTGAGCCAGATGACAGCTCACCTAGGTGTGAAAATCTCTGACCTTCGCTAAACCTGAGCAAACTTAGATGATGTGCTTTCATTTCTTCTTGTGAGGTGCACATACAGTATGTGTGTGTGTGCCTGTCTCCTACCTCACCTCTGAGGGTGGATAAGAGGCTGCCACTGCTTTGGGGGTGGTGGCAATCTGGTGCCACAAGGGTAAAAGGCTCCTAGGTGTAGTTTTGTGTCAGTGTCAAACAGGTTAATTCCTGTGTGTGAGCTCAAAGACAGCACAATTTAGACTTTTCTCCATGGAGGTAAAAATGTCCCATCCCTGTAAGTGTCCAAGGCCAGGCTGGACAGGGCTTGGAGCAACATGATCTAGTGGAAGGTGTCCCTGCCCATGGCAGAGGGTTGGAATGAGGTGATTTTTAAGGTCCCTTCCAGCCCTAACAATTCTGTGATTCTATCAACTCCATTGATACCAAATACACAGGTATTTACTACATTTCCATTTGCACCATGTCCATCCAAACCCCTTTTGCACCTGATGAGCCAGAGTTCTGGATGAAAAGGCTCTTCATCAGGTAAAGCCCAGCTGCTCAAGGATTTGGAAACTGCCCTGCTCTGCAGGGCTGTGCTGGACACCTTCCCTTCCCCAGGGTCCTCAGAACAGCGTGATCCCACCTCACTTCAAACTCTGAATTATTTGCTCTTGGCAAACAGCAGTGGGTGAATTTGGGATTAAGTTTATTTGCCTTCTGAAGGATAAGGCCAAGGAGCGGCACTTCTGTCAGCACACCCACCCAGCAGCTTCCCTCCTGCAGCAGAAGGGCAGCCTAAAGTCCACAGCTGATGGGTCAGGGCCTGTTTGGCCTTACTGCCACTCACAGCAGCTCTCCCTGACCCAAACAAGTGTGAACCCCAAGGCCTTACCCTGTGTATGCAAAAGTGTGTCAAAACTTGTAGTTACAGATGTGCACTGGAGGCTCAGCAAGGGGTGATACTTTCATCCCTTTGGGATGCATGGAAATGGGTCCTAAAACACCCTGTTGGGCTCTGAGTCCATATGTTTGCAAGATCAGGTCCAAAATGATTGCACAGAGGATCCTGAACAGCATCACACTGTCACGATACCACTGATTTATAAAGGATGCCTCTACAAGTTCATTCTTGAGCTCGTTACAGAATTAAATGTCACTCTTTCAATAAAGGCCTCCAATGAACTTTTCTGAGAGCAACAAGTTTCCAGCTAAGAATAAAACCATGAGGTTTGGTTTTGCTTTCAAATGTTCTATGTTCATATGTGTGTGTGAGCCTGTGTGCAGGCTGCCTGTGCTACAAAGCCCTCTGGTTGTTGTTGCTTGGACCCATGGAAAACCCCCAGGGATGAAAGCAGAGCAGAACTGCACCCTTTTCAGTTTGCATCAGGTGTAGATGACAGGTGGAAGCTGCTGAGTTTTCAGCTTTTTATGCTGCAACACAGGTGCTGTCGATTGGAAATCATTGTCCCAAGAGACCATGAAAGCAGCATATTCCTCATGGAAACCAGCGAAACAGTGTCAGGCAGTTCAGGGCAGAGCCAGGAACTGAACCTTCCAACTTGCTGTCAACTTTCACACAGTGAAGGGGGCTTGGATGCTTCCAGATCATCCCATAATTAGTTCTTCTGAATATTCCATATCCTGCCATGCTCCACTGCTATGCGTCCCCTCCTTCTGGTGTCACACCCTCTTTCCCAGCGATAATTTAGATATTAAACCAAGTAAATGTTTTCATCTGTATTGTCTCTCTTCCCTAAAAAGCATATGTGGATGTCACAGTTCAGACAGCTCTGCTTTCCAAATTCCTCTAGGCTTAAAAAGAAGAAAGGATTCACAGAATTCAGGTCTACACCCAGGTTCAAGACCCATATCATGGGATTCTGAAAGAAAAAGGGGGAAGAAGAAGGAATCTGGAACATCTTTACAACATTATGTTGCACTTGCACTGCCATAGCAGTCATCTGGACTTGGCTCCATGACTGTATCTCTGAAGGGGTCCACAATTTAAAAATCAGTTTACATATTTATTAACTCCAGTAAATGGATGTAAACGACCCTGAAGGTTATTGCTCCTGAGCTTTCCTTCTCAAGGCAAACATTTTACTGAGATCCTTTGGTCTGGGAGGATGGGGAGTGTACTGGAAGGGGCAAGGAAAAAAAAAAACCCTTTCACCATGTTTGCCTGCTATGAAGACGTGGTAAAAGGGCAAGCCCACACCCCAGCTCCCCCTTTGATGAACGCCCCTTTTAATTATGATTATTTTGGAAGACGAGTAGCCAGCAGAAGGGACTCGGCTGAGAGAGCTTTCTCACGTTCACGTCTGGCTGCCTCTCTGTGTGAGCAGGGCAGTGGTCCCAGGAGAGGAGGCTGCCTGGAATGCTGGGGGCCCAAGCCCTGAGTGGCCCAGGGTCGCTGGGAGACCTTGGCCATCCAGCCCCTGCCTCCTGCATAACATACATACCCACACACGAGTCATATGCACTCTGGGTGTTGGTTTTTTTTTTTTTCCCCTCTCTGTTTGCAGCTGGTCTATTTGATCTCTGTGTGCCTGGGCTGTTTGCTGTTGTGAGCGCCTTGCCGTGATCAAAACCTCATTATCTCCAGCGATGTTGTAGTGTCAGATATTGGAAAGGGGCAGTGGAGTATAGCAGCAGGCAGCTGCAGTACTGGGCAGGCAACAAAGGCAGCAGTAACCTCCCTCCAGCGTGCTTGGATTGATTCAGTGAGGGGACTGAACATCACTCTGCTTGTGGTGGGAATGGATGTTTTCAACAGCTACTCCCTCTGCTGCTGGTGAGCTGGTGCAGCCCTACATCCCCCTGTGTCCCTGTGTAAAGCAGAGATCAGAGGACATGACTGTGCCCATCTGTGGGGCTCCTGTGGGCTTTCAGCAGCTCAGCTATTGCAGTTCACACTTCCAGCTTGTGTCCATGCTGCTCATCCACACCCACTGCTGCAGGGATGGGCACCCAGGAGCTCCAGCTGGGAGATCAAGCCAAAGACACTTGACTTTCTGTGCAATCCATTCAGTGGCACAGCAGCTGCTGTGCTTGGGGTTGTTTGCTCTGCTGCTTTTGAGCTGCAAGGTTGATGTTCCAGAGCAACCTGATGTGCCCATGGAAAGCCATTTCCCTGTCCTGCTGCTCCTCGTCACTGCCTGGCATATGAACAGCTCTCAGGTGAAGAAACACACCCAGACAATCCATTATATCTTCTGTTTCTCAACTTAGTTCCTCAGGTTGCAGCTTTTCT